GGATTTTGTACCATTCGGGATTTTAGATTTCGAGATATTTGTTTTCGAGATTTTGAATCTTTCGAGATTCTGAGTTTTGAGATTTTGGCCTTTCGATATTTTGAATTTCGAGATTTTGTAGCAGACCCATATAAACACGTAAAGTATAAAAAACGTGTATGAACAAATAATAACTTTGTTGAGTGGAAAGAACTCGAACTTTTTATACTTTTATTGCTATTTAAAATGTATTCTGCTCATACAATACATTTCCTTATTTGAATGTGACTCACAATTACATCGAAAGACTCATTATCGAGTTGTGATTTTATGTTATATTAGTGATAGTCTTTCACGTGATTTGAACTTGTAAAAAATTTCTGCGAGGCGTTGACTTAAGTTCTGATGTGTAAAATCATGTGAAATGTAAAGCAATTTAATAAAATATCAAATATATAATGGTTCTTTTTGAAAATGACTATAAGAAAAGTGTGAAGGTGAGTATATAGAGGTTGATGAATCTTGTATTGAAAGGAAAATTATCAAATTTCATATGCAATAATTAATAAATTTTTAATCTGGATTTCAAACAATTTTCCTTTTAATTACCATTAATATGCATGTAGTAAATTAATCAAGTTCTCTTGAAAAATTTTTATTTCGAGAATGAAAAAAATTCTTTCGAACAATATAGAAAATCATTCAAGAAACAATGACAAAATCATGAGTTTTTGTCATTAAGGTAATAATGTTATTCCCTAAATCCTCCAGAAACTTTACTAAAGATATTACTTCAAATACTCTTTTCTTTTTAGTAAAGTTTTGAAGATTAATCAACCTTGCTATTTATTATGCGTTCTTAAAAAAAAAAATTCAATGATATCCTTGATAATTTGTTTTTAAAAATATTACATATAAAACAATAGTTAACTATATATTTAATATAAATTACATTTACATCCGTAAAGTTTAGCATCAATTTATATGCAAATTATTATTTCTAATAATATTTTCTTTGAAGCCTAAAATGTATGATCTTAAAAAAAATATATATTTACATTTCAGAATGTTCTTATTTTGCCAACTTCATTTTAATAAAGTATTTACTTCTTTCATCGTTATCATTGTATTAATATTAACCATATTTTTTTTTGGAAAATCGTAAAAATTGGGCTGTTATATTTCTTTGAAAAATTAAATCGAGTTGCGAACATTCCAAAGTGATAAATTAACAACAAAATGTCATTATAAATTCATATAATAATACATACAATTTGTTAAATTTCTAAAAAAGAATTAACACATGGCGAAGCGAATTTTGAAAACTTTCATAAAACTATATAAGAAATTCTGAATTATAAAAATTTAAAGTTATATATATGTATGTAATTTTTTTTTCGAAAGGATCATAATTAAACATACAAAATCAAAGGATGTTATATTTTTTATTTTCTGAGGTAAATTGAATAAACTACCTTTTTTTCTGAAAATAAGAATTATAAAATAGTACAAATTACCGTTAATTAAAACTAAAATTTTTTACAATTGATAATGAATGAAATATATGAAATCGAATCTTTTTATTTTCTTTAAAAAAAAAAAATGTTTTGAAATAAGGTTAAAGATATGTATTTTTATTTGATTCAAGAACGATATGAGAAGAGGAAAAAAATAATAATGTCAAAAATTTTGATAAATTATATAATATCATATCATTTCAAACTGCTCTAGGCTTCACGACAATATCTAATTTAGTACATCTCTTAATAATTCCAGAAAAATCAATTTCTAACGGATCATTAATATTCTTTAATAACAAATCATATTTGCCATAAATCAAAATCATCAAACATTTTTGTACAACAATGGCAATTTTTCTACCGGGGCAAATTCTCAAACCCGATCCAAACATTAACAAAGCATCTCTCTTTTCTGATTTAACAATATCATCATCCATAACATCCATAAATCTATCAGGGTTAAATTCTTTCGGATTTTCATATTTTGAAGAATGATGAATACCTTGTGCATTGATATAGAATTTTGTACCAGATTTCCAGACATGATTCTCTATTATACCATCTTCATTGCTACAACGGTCGAGAATTGGAATTGTTGTTGTGACTCGGGAAGCTTCTTTGATAATTGCTTCACAATATTTTAAATTAGAAAGTGAATCGAGTGTTAAAGGATTTGATTGGTTTGAGACAAGAAAGTTGTCAATCTCTTGAAATAATTTTTTCTTGACCATAGGATATTTTGCGAGAAGATATACGACGGAACAGAATATATTTGCAGTCTGTATAGATTTAAAAAGAACACATAAGAATACAAATTCCTTTTTTTAAAAGAAAAAATCAATCAAATAAACTTACAGTGTCAATTCCACCACTTGCGGATTCAAGCAACAAATTCTTAACTTCTTCTCTTGTTAAACAATTTGAATCATCTTGGCCTTTCTCATCAACAATTTGATAGTAATTAACAAGGATAGATAAAAAATCATGCTCGAATTCATCTTTTTTACCATTCTCAAAATCACGCTTCCTACAATCAATTATCATGAGAATCTTCTCATATAAATAGTCACAATTTCGTAAAATCTTTTGTTGTTTATTTCTAAATAACGTATTTCTAATAAACCATGGAATTGAAACAAAAAATTCTAAACCAATCGTAAAATCCACCACGCTCAACGCAAATCTATCGAACTCTTGTTCATCTTTAAAGATAGAGATTGTTGAATGTTTTTTTACACCGCTGAAAACCTCCATAAGATGACTTCCAAATGTTAATTCAATAATATTCTTTATGGCAAAATCCTCGATCCATTTTTGAAAATCTACAACATTGTTATCGTCTTTAATCAAATTTTGTTCAATCAATTTGAAGATGTCCTGACAAGATTTTATGGCAAATTTCAAAAGCTCATTGTTGAAAGCGACTTTCATAAAGTGTTGACGTTGTATACGCCAATCCTGTAAATTATTATTGAGCAATATCCCTTTTCCTTCGTAATTTAATTTGTGTAACCCATCTTCATTAACAATCCTCATGAGAAATGGTGATTTTCTTGAAACGTTAGTCGCATACTCTGTACAGTTAATAACGATAACGCGGTCATTTAAAAGTGGTTTATAAATTTCACAAATTTCGCCATAATTACGTTGCAAATTTTCTAATAGTTCAAAGAATCCTGAATATGAAGATAATAAAGGAAATGTATAAAAGCTACCAAAAATTGGAATTGGGAATGGACCTGATAAAGGATTTTCTCTGGTAAAATACTTGTAATAAAAGTAAAAAGTGTATAACGTTAAGCAGGTTAATATTAAAAAACTAATGTCTTTGAAACCGAATGATAAATTGAGAATTGTATTTAAAAGCATGGTGAATTGTAGCAACAGAAAGGAAGTTGAGCTATAGAATTCCCTGCAACTTACGATATTTAATGGTGTTCATTCTAGTATGTTAAATAAATACGTCATAATTTATAGTTCCAGTATACGTATTTGGGTTAAACTATTTATTGTTCCGCAGCAAATAATTCTGTAATGCTTATTTACGAACTTTCAATAAATAATATCCAAGGTGGTATTTTGCCCCTCTGCAATTTTACTTCGAGGATAAATAAACGGTTAACATTTATCTTTCTTTTTTTTTTCGAAAAAATTAATTAATTTTTCCTATCCATTTTTAGAATCTGATAAAAAAAATTCGGTCATGAAACAATTCCGGACAGCAGTTTTGGGACAAAACATTTTCGATAAAGTTTTCTAAACTTTTTTTTTTTTCATAGTGATTTCTTTAATAATTGAAGTGTCTAATTTTATTTCTTATAACAACGGAGATCGAAAATATTGAAGTAGATTTGTAATTAAAATTTCATGTGGTTTTTTTAATCTATCATCAAATTACAGGGTATATACCGGTTGAAAATAAACAGATTTCGAATATCGAATTGAAATTTTATTCATTTACCTCTTCCTGCGAAAAGAATCCTGGCTTAGATCCGAAGTGAGAATGATTCGTTCCAAATAAAAGAAAGAAAATTCACGAAACTTTTTTGCCCAAAGGCTTAAATTTTTTTAATAAACAACCAGCCTCAGTTTCTAATTTTATCAGTTTTCGGGGTGGCGTTTTAAGGGTTTATTGAAAACAAAGTTAGTATTGTTGAAGCCATCATATTCTAATTTCCCTTTTTTAGTAAGTAACGGGAACTAAATTAAAAGGCGGCTATGACTTGACTTCATTAGTATATTTTTTTCTTAAAATAGGGATAATTAATTATTTTTTTTTTTTATTTGTTAAACAAAAAATTTTTGCAATCAGGTAGGTAATACGAAGAAGCGATGGAGGGTAACGACAAATTTGGAAATCTACAAAGTATAAAAATGATTCAAAAAAAAATATCGAGTAGTTTTCGAAACAAAGAATTCCCTTCTTAATTATATTCAAGATGATTTATGACAAAATTACATATAAGCGACTTTGTTTAATAATCATAGTTCTTATTGCGGTATTTATTGCTGTTAATTATGCACATCCAACTCTTGAACGGAAGAATTCAGCAAGCATTCTTCGAAAACGACAAGATCCAAAATCTCCAAAAGAGCCGGCACCTGAACAACCGAAAGAGCCTGAACCCGAATCACCAAAATCACCAAAAGAGCCTGCACCTGAACAACCTAAAGAGCCTGAACCAAAAGAGCCTAAATCACCTAAATCACCAAAAACACCTAAATCACCAAAAGAGCCAGAACCTACTTGTGTTGAAGATGATGAAACTACATGTCCACCAACCGAGTCCGATTGCGTTGAAGATGATGAAACTACATGTCCAGAAGAACCTAAAGAACCCGAGTCCGTTTGCGTTAAAAATGATGGAACTATATGTACAGAACCTAAAGAACCAGAGCCCGACTGCGATGAACCTAAATGTCTAAATGTCCAAATACTTTAGGTTATTGACATTTAAATACGAATTTTATAGTCTCGGTTTGTGGGTGTTCCGCAACTTTAGTTTTTATTGAAAATTATTATAAAATAAAAGTTTCAAATAGTTTATTTATGAACTGTCCTACTTATAATCGTTATTTTTAAAATTTAAATAAATTATTCGTTCAAATTTGCATTTCCTTTCCTTTTAGGGAAACAATTACAGCTCTTTGAAAATATTCCCATTTCTAAAATTTTACAGATTTTTAGTATTCTTTCAGATTCAATTTGGAGTCTATAAATATTCCTAAAAAAAAAAAAAAATTCAAAGAAATTGCAGAAATAAATTGAGGCACCAGAACTGTAAGGTTGAATCCATAAGATCGGGTATCTTTTAAATTTAATCGTTAAAACCAAAGTTATATTCATTTAAACCTCCGACCCTTCCAAAAATTACTCGATTAGAAAATTCTAAGAATTTGCTTCGATTAAAAAGATAAAAATCTTGATTTATTCATGTGAGATATAAAGTATTTCCCAAAAGGGGTCAAACTTGTACAAAAGTAACATCCAACCCTATATTTATACTCATAATTGTTAATTGGAATTGCCTAATTGGTATGTTTCCTATCGCCGAACAATTTAATATTTTCCCACAACATAAATAAAAAAAGAATGTATTACTATAAAAAGCAGCTATAATTCAAATAACAATTTCTTTCTCCTCAAACATACTACGAGAGAAAAAAAACAAAAAAAATAAATCATTTTAATTAGTCGAAATAGAAAATAAGCCTTATGAAGTGAAGTTCAATTTGTTCTTGATTGGAATGTTAAACATGGTTAGTTGAGTTATCATAAATTATTTTTGTTGTCAATTTTCAAATATATATATACACACATATATTATTATGCTAACTCTTCACTTCAGCTCACGTTTCAAAACCTTGTTAAATCTGTTATTCTTTATCGAGCTGGACGGGAAAGAAGCATGTCTTTGCTTAAGATTATTTTTAATCTTAGCTGCTTGGCGTGCTCCGTAATTGATTTGTTGTTAAACATCTCTTTAGAAAAATGTATGTGGTCTAGCTATCAGACCGTTTTCATGTTGACACTTATTAGACAATACGAGAAAAGCAATTCTGACATGTGGATGAGCATTGGATTGCTTATGATCAGAGCAGGATTTCATGTAGGTATTAAATGATGTATTCATCGCAATGTTGCAATAAATTTTAATTTTTCTTTCTTTTCGTTTTGAAACTAGTTTGTATATACTTTTCCGATGAATCCTCCACACGATCTTTCTGAAAATCCCACTTCTTTTTATGGTGGAATGAAAAGCGAAAACGGTTTTTATTTCAGTAATTTGACCTTGGTTGATATCATTATAGATGGTTACGTCATGTATCGATTGATGCGGATTTTAATAAATAACCGAAAAATTGGATATTCTTATCCAAAAGATATGTTTACCATTGTCATGTATTGGAATTTGTTGACCGTCGTGACCGCATTCTTGTATCATATGTTCACAGCATTAGATATTACCGAGAATAAGGTGTCCATTACAAATGTGACCACGCAAATTGCTCTCTCTTATCTCATCACTATAGATACCGGAATCAAAGGGTGGAAATGAGAAAGTTATGAAAGTAAACCATGTAAATCATTTCTTGTATTATTTTATTTATTATCACAAGTATACTTAAATATCATGAAATTTTCGAATTGTATTATATAAATAATAAAATATTAACTAAAACATCATTTATGTATAAATTATAACATATATGTATGTACAGAATTGAGATATCAATAATGAAGTTAGGTTACATTAAATGAAAAGACAACGAAGATTTACATAAGGGAAATTTTAAATATGGTTGAAAGTGGTCATCGATCTATCTTCTTTATTTAAATGTATAAACAAGAGAAATGTTAAGGTGCTTATGAAACAACCCTATCTAAAAAAATTTTGTTTTTATTTACATAAATTTTCTCAATTACCGTTGTTATAAATATCGGCATTTACGAATGGCGCAGTAACTGCGGAGAAATAACGAAAGTGTTAAAAATATCAAAAAATAATTTATTTTTGCAGATATGACTATTTAAATTTAACCATCCAAAAAATTTGAACAACTTAATAAAATTAATAATATTGATTTGAGAATCGATTCTTTAAATTCTAGGCTAATTGATGTGGAAAAATCAGAACTATTGCAACATTATTAATTAATAAACAAAAATTTAAAGTTTTATTTTTTGAGGATATTTTATGATTGGCTTAAATAGTAACAATAAATTATAATAATAAAAAAAATCAGAGATTTAATGAAATGATTAGTTGTGTTAAATAATTCAATATCACTTTTGCCCATCGAGATGACACAACACACATACAAAACCGTAACTGAATGTTAAATACATTTTTATTTTTTGAATCTCAATTTTGATAATTTTGATAAAAATCGTGCCCTATTCTATAAAGTTACATGCCAAAGATATTTGGTATTTGTTCGCTATTAGTATAATACTAATACCCAGGATGCACGACGAGGACGTCAATACCATTCGCAACCCAAAAATTAAGATCAATTTCCAGTAACCTCAAACATTTGCCTCAAAACTGGAAAGAGATCAAAGAATAATTTTCAGCACTTTTGCCTCAAGCTGAAGGAAATTATTCTTTATCTATCACCTTAAATTGGATCAATCAGTTCGCAACTGAAGGAATCCATCTAAGCCGTTAAGGATAATATAATTTGAAATAAAATGAGTTAAGGATAAATAATGATAAAAATAATTTGTAAAAGTTTTGAGTTAAGGATAATATGTATAAAATTATTCTGTAAACAAAGATATAATTTATATTAAAAAGAGTTTAGAAGAATAAGTAAAACCATATAAATTATTAAACATACCATGAGGATATGAAGTTCATTTCAACGCATGACATCGCTGACAGAAACCTCGGAAGAAAGGCTATAAACATTTAAACAACGGAATTTTGTTAGAAAGGCTTCTTTTTTAAAAAAAAAAAGAATTTATAACCAACATGTTAAATAAATGACGGGATTGAACTCCAACCATGGATCATCGATACTTGATGGGACCTTCCAAGAATCGCGACCACTTTATGGGCCATGACCTCTTAATGAATGAACTTCTTCCATGGATCAAGTTCTTCTCAAGGAACCACTTGCAATCGGATCAGACTCTACCAAGAATCACGACCACTTGATGGGATCGATAGGTTTATTCCAAGGATCACACGGGATTGGACTTCTAACAAGGATCACGACCACTTGATGGGATCGATAGGTTTATTCCAAGGATCACACGGGATAGGAATTCTACCAAGTATCACGACCACTTGATGGGATCGATAGGTTTCTTCTAAGGACCATACGGGATTGGAATATTACCAAGGATCACGGCCACTTGATGGGATCGATGGGTTTCTTTTAAGGATCATACGGGATTAGACTTCTACCAAGTATCACGACCACTTGATGAGATCGAAAGGTTTCTTCCATTGGCTACGATCTCCTGCGACTTCTACTAAGTATCACGACCACTTGATGGGATCGATATGGATCATACAGGATTGGAATTCTACCAAGGATCACGACCATCGATAGATTTCCCATGGGCTACGATCTACTGCGACTTCTAACAAGGATCACGACCACTTGATGGGATCGATAGGTTTCTTCCAAGGATCACACGGGATTGGACTTCTATCAAGGATCACGACCACTTGATGGGATCGATGGGTTTCTTTTAAGGATCATACGGGATTAGTCTTCTACCAAGGATCATGACCACTTGAAGGGATCGAAAGATTACTTCCATGGGCTAATATCTCCTGCAGCTTCTACCAAGGGTCACGACCGCTTGCAATGGAAATGAAGTTCAATTCTAAAAATGGTATTTTTTTAGGTTTAGGATGACTTCGAAATCCAAGAACAGCCTATTCAGGAAATTAATAATTAGATTTCTTTGCCAAAGAAATAATAATCACGAAAAAATTGCGTCACTTTAGTTCTAAGAACGGACAATATCTATATAGCAACATTTACAGCAATATTTTGAGAAAAAAAATTAAAAAAAAAAGAAAAAAAAATGCCATGTATTCAGAAAACTCACTGTAATACTTTCAGTCTCAACGAAGAAAAATTTTAAATTTTTTGAACCGCAATAAGCGTCATCATTAAGTATTTATTTATAATAACGTCATACAACAACGTAATTGTTGTTCTGGGTACATATCACGTGATAGAAATAGCTAAATTTCTTGCACGTGATTTTAAAGTTTTTATACATGTGGTCTAGGATAATAACCTAAACCCGGAGTCTAGGATAAATTTGCCCTTAAAAAATTTCTGTGTTGACTTTACATCT